ATTAAGGCCATAAAAATATATTCTCCCTATCGTCATGGTTATCAGTGTCAGAAATTTAGCATGAAAGAAGTAATTTCTAATGCTGCAAAGTTTAGGAGTTGCTATAAATCATAGCATTTTCATCTCTTAGGGTCTGTGCCCTGAAAACCTGGTCATATCTTTAGTGAGTGAGTGAATTGGGTTTAATCCTGTTTATTTCAGCGATTGACGTGCAAGGAAAGCCCAAGTAATGCAAGACGTTTACCGCTTGGCTGACAACATGGCTATCATAACGTCAAAGTTTGAATAAAAGTCAGTCGAAATCAAGATTCAAACCCACAATGGTCGGGTTCTGACACGAAGGGAGGCAACTCTGCACAGCAACTGGCAGCACCTTGGAAGACCGTGTCGCCCATAGCCCCATTACATCATCACTACTACATGACTGTGAATGATGCAAAAGTCAATACAACCAAACACAGCATATTCCTACCACAGTGTATCAATGACATCCAGCATTGATTTGTGTGGGGAAAGAGGGCGTCTGCTTAACTTCCAGCATCCCCTGCGGCTGACTGATAACTCCAGCAGGCAACTGTGTCCTGTTGTTCGACATTGTGGCACAGACAAAGGCTTGTGATGGCATTGATAGCCGAGTCAGCAAACATCACAATGACAGGATAAATATTTGAGACGTATTTATATTGCACAACAAAGAATATCATAGCTAAGTTTAGAAAGTATAAAAATGATTCATCCATATTACATAAGCTCAAACATGAGATCAGTGCAACTTTACATAATTGTGAAATGCTTGGTTGTTTTCTGTCTGCCATCTTTGTGTTCTTCAAAAAAGTGGGGTATAAGAAGGTTTGTGACTTGTTCATGCTGCTGCACAACAGGCCTTGAATTGAAGTTGGCAGACGCCAACAGAAGCGGTGGTTGGTTGGTTGATTTGTTGTTTAATGCCTCACTCAGCAATATTCCAGCTATATGACGACAGTCTGTAAATAATCGAGTCTGGACCAGACAATCTAGTGATTGATATCATAAGCATCGATCCACGCAATTGGGATCGATGACATGCATCAACCAAGTCAGCGAGCCTGACCACCCGATCCCGTTAGTCGCCTCCTATGACAAACATAGTCGCTGAAGACCAATTCTACCCCGGATCTTCACGGGTCTCGAACAGTAGTGAAACACTGACAGTTGGAAATTTGAAATTTGACATAAATATTTCCAAAATTATTAAAATTGACACCATTTTTAAGTGTTTCAGAAGAAGATTGAGTGAATATTTGTTTCTCTGTTTTTTGCAAGAATTCAGCAACATCAGGACAGGGGACACTAGGAATGGGCTTCACAAATGTGGGGATCAAACCACGGAAAAGCAAACACCTCAACCACTAAGCTACCCTACTGTCCCAGAAGAGGGTGGAGGATGGGGTGAAGGTTTCTGAAGAGGGTGTAGGGTGGAGTAAAGGTTTCAGATGGGAATGTAGGGTGGAGTAAAGGTTTCAGAAGGGGGTGGAGGGTGGAGTAAAGGTTTCAGAAGGGGTGTAGAGTGGAGTAAAGGTTTCAGAAGGGGCGCAGGGTGGAATAAAGGTTTTAGAAGGGGGTGTAGGGTGGAGTAAAGGTTTCAGAAGGAGGTGTAGGGTGGAGTAAAGGTTTCAGAAGGAGGTGTAGGGTGGAGTAAAGGTTTCAGAAGGGGTGCAGGGTGGAGTAAAGGTTTCAGAAGGGGTGTAGAGTGGAGTAAAGGTTTCAGAAGGGGTGTAGAGTGGAGTAAAGGTTTCAGAAGGGGTGTAGGGTGGAGTAAAGGTTTCAGAAGGGGGTGTAGGGTGGAGTAAAGGTTTCAGAAGGGGTGCAGGGTGGAGTAAAGGTTTCAGAAGGGGTGTAGGGTGGAGTAAAGGTTTCAGAAGGGGTGTAGAGTGGAGTAAAGGTTTCAGAAGGGGTGTAGAGTGGAGTAAAGGTTTCAGAAGGGGGTGTAGGGTGGAGTAAAGGTTTCAGAATAGGAGGAGGATCAGATGGTTTAATGGAAGGTCACCTTGACAACCCGCTCATACTGACCCAGTATATTAGTGGAACACTGTACAAAGGAACCCTTATGGCACACATCCCACAGGATTGATAGAAGACTATATGCTTCAGAAATGCCAAGAACGTATGAGGCGGGAAGGAAAGTCACGGCATTATGGAATCGGAGCCCAGAAGTTAACAACTCAAACTGGAAATTGGTTCGTGAGTAGTAATGGAGCAGAGCATGGCCCGACCGGACTAAGAAGGGATAAAGTAGAGGCACTATTCTGTGATTGGGAGACATATAACACCGTATTGATCAATCGGTGGCTAGGTAACTGCAGCATCACTTCAGGCCATAGAAGGATGTCAGTGGCTTGACCTATGGACTGAAAGTGACTGGCTGAGGCTGGCGGACAGGGTACATTCACTTCCTCTACAGTCAATATTCTGTCAGAGAGTCTGTCAGAGAGTCTCCACACAGATCTCCCCCAGACCTCCACAGAGTCTAGCTAGCAGGTTCATCCATCACTGTGGCAGTTGACACCATTACTGAATGTGGCAGTGTCGACATCATGCTTCTTCACAGCTGCAGGGTGACACAGAATCCTTTGACCTATTGAGTGTTTACTCCATGTTTTCATTCACAATGGGTTTAGGGTATTGAAAAATAGCCATCTATTGGTTATTTTTACACCAACGAGTAGACATGTTTTAAATAATTCGGCTTGAATGAGTCAAATGTTGACTTCTAATTTGTATCTGTTTGTGTGCTTTCCCAAGTGTGAAACATGGTTGACAAACACACTTGTAAACTACATGTCTCATACAATAAGCGAGACATAGCGTCGTTCATGCATTATTGACTGCAGCAGTTCTTGTATGTGTGATACCTGCTTCTCGATCAGCAAACAAAGATCTGTAAGGTGAGGTGAGGTGAAATGGGGTTTAATGTTGCGTCCAAGATTATTGCACTTATATAGCGATGTGCATGCACACGTGTGTGTGTGTGTGTGGCTGCTTATACTCGTCCGGACTGATGCCAATTTACAGTGCTAGATCACTGAGATACCATGTCGCAGTTTAACATGAATATCCCACTCAGACACAATATACTGACTCCAAGCCGACCAGTCCTTGTTTTAGCCCCTTAATGCCGAGCGCCAGACAGGGTAACAACAAGTACCATCTTTTAACGTCTTTTGGTATGACGCGGCCAGGGACCTTCCACTCTCCCGGTGGACGCTCTACCATTAGACCACGGAGGCGGTCAGAAAATAATAAAATACAAACAAGTTAACATACTGGATTATGACAGGCAGCAAGGTCAGCTGGTTTTGTATCAGAAAGACAACCAAGAAAGTAATGAGGAATTAAATAATAGTTTGTACTTGCTTATTGACATCGATGTGAGATCACCATTGACAATCGATATGGGATTAAATGTGAATCGATGCCAAATTCAGTTAATCGGGGATCATATCATGCAGAGTTTGCCGACGATGCACCCACGTACCAGTGAATCGCGACATTGCCAAACCATGTCAAAAATACAATAGTAATGGACAAACTAGAAATGGAGACACCAACTAAATTCCTTCATAAAGAAAACCATGTTGTATCAAGCTGCAGGACTCCAGTCATATAACTGTCACCTATAAAGGAAATGATGAAGCAGGGGACCATAATCCATGCAATCACTGTGCTCAACACTAACACAGGTCCGTTGGTCTGAGTCTAGTTTATTTCCTTTAGGACCAGTCAAATTATATGAATGGTAGTCCGGTGGTCTAATGTTATTTTGGGGAAGAGCAGTGTAATTTAACTTTGTACGACTTTTGAAATCAGCAATCAATCAAGTCTAAACTCTCAGCAACATTGTGTCTGGTAGAGTGAGTGAGTGAGTGAGTGAGTGAGTGAGTGAGTGAGTGAGTGAGTGAGTGAGTGAGTGAGTGAGTGAGTGAGTGAGTGAGTGAGTGAGTGAGTGAGTGAGTGAGTGAGTGAGTGAGTGAGTGAGTGAGTGAGTGAGTATGGTTTTACGCCGCTTTAACAATATTCCAGCAATATCATGGCAGGGGACACCAGAAATGGGCTTCACACATTGTACCCATGTCGGGAATCGGACCCGGGTCTTCGGCGTGACGAGCTAACGCTTTAACCACTAGGCGACCCGACCGCCCCTTGTGTCTGGTAGAGATTGACCAGGACAAGCAGATTTGTTTGGGTGCTGGCACTTTGGACCACTGCCAAGTTGGGTAAGTGTCAAGCACTGCATCAGTTATATACCGTATTCGACGTAATAAGTGCCTAGAGCACTCTCAAAATTAGAAATAGGGGGCTCTTATTAGAATATTATTTTGGTGGAAAAAAACAGAATTGAAAGATAAATTTTGTGGTTCATGCTGACAGCCTGAAATGTTTATGTACGACAGATATATGTTTCCAGAATTTAATTGCCCATAATTAAGGGTGCATATAACACACGAGTGCGTATTGTACGTGAATAAATAAGTCTTGTGAACATTGATCAATCGGAAGGTGTGCTAATGGAATTGTTCACTAGCCAATATATTAGCAAATTCCACCATGGGCGCTTATTAGAGTGAGGCGCTTATTACGTCGAATACGGTAATTGTCCTCTGTAATGAAAAAGACAAACATGGGGCCAAACAATTCACAATGTCAAGGTCAAGGACACATGACATTCAGGTAACCCATTGCGACCTGTAATCCTCGTTCTAGTCAAGCCAACACCAAGCTTGGTGCCGGTTCTGCCACAAGGTTCCATGATTATCTCATTAAAATGACAATATAACAAGGGCACATCAAAGTCACATTATGACAGCCTTCCAGTCGCTGTCCCAGGACATGCATGTACTCACCGATGTCCTGTAGAAGAACAACAATAAAATATTTATCAAGCTGCAATAACAAGACCTGTCATTAGCTGGCACTAACAACAAAGGCAGGCAGCAGTCAGAGAGGAGTAGTAATAGACTTACCTAGCAAGGCGTGGAATAACCTGCTCTTGAAGATCTGTATCACACGCTCGATGGCATTTTTTAACTGCTTATCCTGGGGTTTGTTCAGCCGGCTGTGGTAGTCCTCCAGCAACTCTAGGGCCCTGTGGGCATCTGAAACAACATTCACAGTGATTAGCTAATCCCAGCAACATCGTCAGACACAGCCACCCAATTGCCAAACAATTCCATTGTCACATCTACAGTGGCAAAGGCAACAGCAGACCATTACAACATTAGGAAGCTCCTCCTGGGGCTAGCTTTATCACCTCAAAGGCTGGCAACAAGCTTCTTTTTGTCCAAGATCAGCAAATTACTTCTGGTATATGCCAAAGTTTTTTTAATATTTCGATTTCGATGATGCATCTCCTTTCCTAGTGAAAGTATCACTGACATCATCAAGGTATTTTTTTAAAACCATGTGCCAATGATACATATCCATTTCTGGTTTGCGTAGTTGCTATCCATCATGCTCCTACTTTACAGTCGTATTATCATTTCTTTTATGTAAATGAATGACTGAAAAACAGGAGACTATTTCAAAGATCACATGGACTACCACTAGCCACTATCCATAGATCAGTCCTAGCCACTATCCATAGACCAGTCCTAGCCACTATCCATGGACCAGTCCTAGCCACTATCCATAGACCAGTCCTAGCCATTACCCATCCTTTATCTAGGCTTAGCCACTATCCATCCTTCAGCTAGGCTTAGCCACTATCCATCCTTCAGCTAGTCCTAGCCACTATCCATGGACCAGTCCTGGCAACTAGCCATGAACTAGCACTTGCCACTATATGTACATGGACCCAATCAGCCACTACCCAGACTGGTCCTAGCCACTATCCAAAGACCAGTCCTAGCCACTATCCATGAACTAGCACTTGCCACAACATGTACATGGACCAAATCAGGCACGAATCAGGCACGACCCAGACCAGTCCTAGCCACTACCCATCCTTCACCTAGTTCTAGCCGCTAAGTCAAAGCTAGCCCTAGCCACTAAGTTAAAGCTAGTCAAAGCCACTGTCCATCCTTCAGCTTGGTGCAGCCACTATCCATCCTTCAGCAAGGACTAGCCACTATCCATCCTTCAGCTAGTCCTAGCCACTATCCATCCTTCAGCTAGTCCTAGCAACTATCCATCCTTCAGCTAGTGCTAGCCACTATCCAGGCTTAGCCACTATCCATCCTTCAGCTAGGCTTAGCCACTATCCATCCTTCAGCTAGTCCTAGCCGCTACCAATCCTTCAGCTAGTAAAAGCCACTGTCCATCCTTCAGCTTGGTGCAGCCACTATCCATCCTTCAGCTAGTGCTAACCACAATCCAGGCTTACCCACTATCCATTCTTCAGCTAGGCCTAGCCACTATCCATCATTCATATAATCCTACCCACTATCAATCCTCCACTTAGTCCTGGCCACTATCCATCCTTCAGCTAGTCCTAGCCACTATCCATCCTTTAGCTAGTCCTAGCCACTATCCATTCTTCAGCTTGTCCTAGCCACTATCCAGGCTTAGCCACTATCCATCCTTCAGCTAGGCTTAGCCACTATCCACCCTTCAGCTAGTCCTAGCCACTATCCATTCTTCAGCTAGTCCTAGCCACTATCCAGGCTTAGCCACCATCCATCCTTCAGCTAGTCCTAGCCACTATCCATCCTTCAGCTAGGCTTAGGCACTATCCATCCTTCAGCTGGTCCTAGCTACTATCCATCCTTCAGCTTGTCCTTGCTACTAACCAGTCTTAGCGACTATCCATCCTTCAGCTAGTCCTACCCACTATCCATCCTTCAGCTAGTCCAAGCCAATATCCATCCTTCACCTAGTCCTAGTGACTATCCATCCTTCAGCTAGTCCTACCCACTATCCATCCTTCAGCTAGTCCAAGCCAATATCCATCCTTCACCTAGTCCTAGCCAATATCCATCCATTAAGCTAGTCCAAGCCACTAGTAGTGCCATACGCACTATCCATATAAACCGAATTCAACATACTATCCATGGATTAGTTTTAGCTATCAAAACAATACACTATTCTATCCATTATCCATCCACAGACTAGTTGTAGCCACTATCCATCCATGGACCAGTCATAACCACTACCCATCCATGGACTAGTTCTAGCCATCATTAAAGGACTAGTTCTAGCCATCATTAAAGGACTAGTTCTCGCCACTATCCGTCAAAAGACAAGTACAAGCCACTTTTCCTCTACAGACGAGCTCTAGCCAGTATTGGCTATCGATTCATGGACGAAACTTGAATCAGTGTTAATTTCATAGTCCGGGCCAACGCAATAAATTCTAACACTAAACTTTCACGGTGATAGGGAAGTAATTTACCAATCACGGACCCACTGAAGCCATCGCGTCACCCAGGTATCCTCAACTACACACTGCGATACAGAAGAGGCACAAGCTAGGGCGCTCCAAGTGACTCCGAGGAATATGGATTGCTGCTGTACCGGCATCAGCATAACCTCCAACACTAAGTGAATATCGATAAGCTCGATGGTGAAAACACTTGTGGAACATGTTATGGTATATGAACAGGAAGCTGGATTTGCCGTATCAAGGTTAGGTCCCAGCATCAAAGAAGGAAGAACTCTCTTATCTGCTTACTGATAAAAGAGTGTGGTTCTTGAAGCATGGCACCTCCCGACACTCATCACCTTCCACACCGACAGATCAGCGAGGATGGCCACTAGGGGAGTATGTTCTCTTCGACTAGTCAGTGTAGCCTTGCTACAGGCTGTACTAAAGGAAAAACCCATGTCATTCCTGCTTACAAATTTGAAACACCCACACAGTGCTGCAGACACTGTTGAACCTTTGAGTATTAATCTTACTCACATTTAATCATTCACATTGGGTCTTTGTAGTTTTCTTTAGGCATTCAATAGTGTTTGAAAAAAGCGTCGGCCTGTAGTCCCGTGGTAGACCTTGTGACGGGCCCATAGTTTCAATGTTTATTGGTCCTTATGGCCTGCAGATAAAAACGTGTTGATTTATTTGTCACAATAAGCTGCAGTTTATCAAATGAGGCCCTGATGAATTTAGTCAAGATCTGCAGCTTTTATAGTCTGTGGGTCTTCATGGCAGCCTGTCGATTTTGGATTATTTAAAACACTGGTATTCAATATATTTCACTCCCAGGATCCAGGCTACTGCGGTTTAAAAATAATCGGTAATCATTTTTTTTTAAATATATCTCCATAAACTGCTGTTTCAGGTGACTTCATATTTGGCACATACGCAGCTTATCTAGTAGGGCTGGGACGGGTAACTCAGGTACCCGAGTCGGGTGGGTACTGTGTAGGACCCGGGTACCCACAGGACTACCCGGACCCGTGGTTAGTCACATGATATATTGTTTAATGACAAAAAGTATCTAGAACTCTATGGTTACACTACAAGTCACAAATGTTCACATTTCTTTCTGACTATGCACCAATTCCTTCTGACTTTAATATGTTTGAATAAAGATAAAACAGTCAACTCCAGTGTATGCATGACCAGATTGTTTAATACATGTATCTAAATATGTTTTTCCTGTGCTTTGGTAGAAAAATGCCCAATCAGACATTTTGTACCGATCTCTTGAGACCCGGGTAGGGTCGGGTAATACGGGGGTGGGTAAATTCAGACTCGTCCCAGCCCTATTATCTAGAGCTCTGCCAATGTTGTTCCAGTTATTGTAACATGGTTATCAGCAAGTCTAGACAGACTTACAAGTTTAAGACCAACACAAGTTGATAACTTTAAAAATATAAATGTAAATTTTCTTTAAAATTTAACACAATATTTTCATAAACAATAATTTTTGTAAGAGACCTATGCAAGTCTATATGCGTTGAACATTCAGCCTCTGACTGTTATCCTAAATCATGTTGTGTTGGAGCTCTGTGCATCAGCTGCATATATTTCATAATGAGTGTTATCAGGGCTTGGAAGATTACAGGCAGAATATAGAATCCTTTAGTTCTTATCTGCCCCTACTTGAGAAAGTTTTATCCAATACATAGGTCATAAACTGGTGTTTTCCTAAATAAACCTACCAGTAGAGCAGGGCATGCTTCCCTTTCAGTGACACCCGTGAAGGTCCGGGGTAGAATAGGTCTTCAGTAACCCATGCTTGCCGTAAAAGGCGACTTTGCTTGTCGTAAAAGGCAACTAACGGGATCTGGTGGTCAGGCTCGCTGACTTGGTTGATGCATGTCATCAATCTCAATTGCGTGGATTGATGTTCATGATGTCAATCACTGGATTGTCTGGTCCAGACTCGATTATTTACAGGCATAGTCGCCTTTTACGGCAAGCATGGGTTGCTGAAGACTTATTCTACCCCGGATCTTCACAGGCCACCATATCTTGAAATACCCAAAACAATTAGAAAGAACAATATTTCTTTTTCATTTTATTATGGCTATCAATACTATTGATATTCTAGATAATTGATTAATTGATTGATTAACGGCGCACACAGCAACATTCAAGCTAAATGAGAGCAGTCTGTAATTAATCAAGCCTGGACCAGACAATCCAGTGATTGACTTTATAAGCATCAATCTATGGATACAATGACATACATCAACTAAGTCAGCAAGCCTGACCACCCGATCCCATTAGTCGCCTTTTACAACAAGCATTGTCACCTTTAACGGCAAGCATGGGTTGCTGAAATCCTATTCTACCCTGGATCTTCACGAGATTTTTTCAAGTACATGTACTTGCAAAAACAGAAGCAGCCCTGCCTGACAGCACCATTTCGGTTCAATCTCTATTTGAATCTTCCCTTTCACCCAGGCCTTTGTGTAAAGCCATGGCTCTAAATGAAACAAATCTAGATTTTCCAAACGTTCTGAAACTCAGTTACAGGTTCGATCTCCTGGGGCCCCTTTTCAGTTTAAATGTAGTCGCTTGTTTTTATCAAAGTCATAAATTTTCAGAGTCTGAACATCAGTCTTCCACCATTGCCTCTAAATACTATATCCTCCAGAGGCTCGGATCTGAGCAGAGATTTTGGTGTTTGAAGTTACCCCAGTTCACTCCATTGACAGGCTCTGTGCTGACCACTATATTAGACCCCGTGGTGACAGCTGATGATTA